CCTCTCGTAGATCCTCATCCTGTAGGATCCCCTGTGCTGTAAAACCATAAGAACGATCATTTGTTAACCTTTATCAACCATAAAAATGGACATTTTGAACGCTTCTACTGCTCAGATAGTCATCTGGAAAACCATAAAATTGGACATTTTAACTTCTACTGCTCAGGTAAAGAGCTGTAAATCCATAAAAATTGTAGTTTAGATGTTCCTCTGTGGGCTCTTGCTGCTCAGACTGGTTCCTACCATGGGGATCATCCTGCAGGAGCGGATGCAGTCGCTCATGCCCATCATGCTCATGTAGTCGGCGTACTCGCCCCTCCTCATGAAGTACTGGTTGCCCATGTAGTTGGGCCTGTCGTAGACCATGAAGCAGCCGCTCTCCACCCTGCAGGAGTGGCACCTGCTCATGTAGGAGGACATGTCGGCGCAGTCGCTCATGCACTCATAGTGGCGCCCCTGGAAGTTCCTGTCCTCGTAGAAGATGATCTGAAAAGCAGGGAAGGGCGAGAGCGACTTGTAAAACAGAAGCAGGACTTAAACAAATGGGAAAAGCTGCGCTGTTGGCTGCTGGGATCCCGTACCTTTCCTCTCATGTTCATGCCGGAGTTGCTCATGTTGGCTGCTGGTGGGTGGGTTGCTGCTCTTGGTAGCTGTTGCTCCTGTGCTGCTTTCCCACCTCGGTTAACCCTTTCCTTTTATACCTGTTCAAACATAAAGAACCAGGGGCTAAACCCCACCCCCCAGCTCACAAAACCCCCCACTCAGCAGCTTACCTTTGAGCTCCACAGAATGCAGAGGTTATGTTCATTTTTTCAGTCTTTAGAAAAGCCTTTTCTCCCATTAGAAACAGCTCTTTCAACAGTTATGGCCTTTGTGTCTGTGGAGAGCTGTGTGTGGCTGACCTGTATGTTACATATGTGTCCCTACTGATGGTGTTTAACACCATGTTTTCATACTTAAACATCACTGTATGTGTACAGTTTCCCTTCTACTCTTTATATATCTATACATCTATCTGTTGTTTTAAATGCTAAAACAGGATAGACATTAAAAGGTCAAAGAATCAGGTTCCTACGATAAAAGACATAAATGTGAGTGAAAGTTTTATACATAAAAAAGCATTTCGTTGATAGGCAAAACTAAATATGAAGTTTATATGTATTCATCAATCATGTGTTTATCTAAAGCTCACAAAGAGCTAATTAGGTAATCATCATTTCCCACTTTGAAAGGAAATTAGTAAAAAGAACGAAAGTGTTTTTTGTTTAACAGGAAAAGATGCACTTAGTGGCCGGATCTCATGGACAAATGCGAAAGAGTCACAAAACCAAAAGGTTTATTCTGATCAAGACATTTTACTCCACAATTAGAAATAAATACATATATAAATGGTCTCTATTGAAACACAGAGAAACAGATGTTTATTGTTTAAAAAGGTAATAAAAAACAGTTTATTAACATCTACAAATCTTTAAGCAATCCAAAGATCTTCGGTTCATTTAAAGGTAGATTTAGTAACTTTGGTCCCACAAGGGGGCAGAATTTCCGTCTCAGGTAAATTGAATTTAATTCTATTTATTTAACACCAGCTCAGAACAAATTTAATCTCTAACCACTTAAAAGATACAGTACAATTCAAACCATTTGGAATTCTTCGTTATACAGTCAAAATGAAATCATTTCAAGTTCATTTAGTTTACAAAACATTCAGTTTATACAGGAAAAAGTTCCAAGTTTGAGAAACCAGCAGATTGAACTGAATAGTCTCTTCAGTCTAACTTGTGCTGAGCGTGCACGAGGTGACAGTGGGAGGAAAAAACTTCCTTTAACCAGAATTTTATGGATAGAAGTAGTAATATTTTTATTAAAAAACTGCTTCTTTTGCGCTTTGCAGGCGACATAGTTGAGAAGATTATGGCCAGAGTTGTTATTTTGGGGCTTTTTTATGAACTTATTTGAATCTCTGTGACTCATGTTCCAACTAGTGGTGTGAAGAGATACTACAGTAAACAAAAATCAGTTTTATTTAAAAGCCTCTTTTATATAGCTTTTCCTATCCTGTTTGAATTATTAACCCTCTGATGTTTTATACTTTTTTCTCTACAACAAGAACCCGAAAAAAGCCTTTTGCAGTACATTTGATGTTTTGCTGATGTCGGTATAATTGTAAAAATGGGTCATCAACACAAACAGACAGACACAAAGTTTGATTTGTTGAAATAAGGACTGTTTTCTCCTACTTTGACTTCTGGGAATGACATAAACAAATAAAAAGAACAAATTGTTTATCGGTGATTGTTGTGAAGACGATGGAATTGGAAACCATTGGGCTTATAACTTTCTTTCCAGTCCCTTTGGAAATATTTCTTTTAACTGTGTTTGGTGCTTTTCATTATGTAATGTCTAATGTGGTGTTTTACCAAAACTGTTAAAAAAGAAGTCATTTAAAATTAGCAAAATCCAAGAACCACTGTGAAACATTTCTTGAGAGATGGATGGAGACGTGGACATCTGGATATGGGGAAGTTTGAAATGAACAAGTACATTTATGCGCCCTTGTTGTTAGTTTTGTATTTGTGAACCTGCCAGACACAGTTATTGGGGGGGGGGGGGGGCTCCATGTTTGTAATGACAATAGCAGCAGAATGAGGGTCAAAAGGTCGGCAGAGTCAATGGGCTCCTGTTTTGGGAGTCGTGAATATTCCCGCAGTCTATTCAGCCAGGCGGCGGACGCCCGGATAAGAGGACCAGAGCATCGCCGCTCCATGAAAAGCCTTTTTATTCTGTGTTTGTACTGTGGGACACTGCAGGGTTTCACAGACACTGACACCAGGGCAGGTTTCCAGAAGGCTCTGTTTGCCTGTTCAAATCCCCCTGATTGTTTTCCTCAGCAGGAGAAGCTCTGGATGAAGCTAAAAGTGTTTAAACACAAGTCTCCTCTGTTGTTTAAGATGTTTTCAAATAACTTTTCTTGATGATACAGGTATTGGGTTGGTCAGCATTTTCACTTTTTGATGAGCAGAAACTGATGGAAATCAGGGTTTCACTGCTGTTTCTCCTTTACAGGAAATATCCAGTAGAGGGCAGCCTAAACACATTATGCAAAACAAGTGTAGAAACCTCACTGGTTCGAGGCCAGTAAGCAAACTTAAATGGTTTACTAGCTATCATTGTATTGAGCTTATGGTCACAATTGGAAACTCTATCAAAAAAATTGCGATGAATGAGCTGCTGCCTTAAGTCACATTGTTTTATTCAACCATGAAGCAGCAATATCTCAGATTCCTGCTTTTGGCTGTTGGTGTAGGTGCTATTTCCCAATCAATGCCTCTCTAACCTGGACAAAAGGGGCCGATTCTTTGTCTCAGGAGGCAACAAAATGAAATAATCAACATTTAAATGAGCCGACTCAACACCCGAAAGCTTTTTTTCTCAAAAAGTTTTATTGAGTTTTGGTGTGTTTGGACATAAATGCTTTTACATGTCCATGATGCGCCTCATGCTCATGAACCTGGAGCCGCTGTATCCCATGTCCCTGAAGCTGCGGTACTCGCCGGGCCTCATGTACATCATCCTGCCTCTGTAGTGGGGCTGCTCGTACATCAGCCAGTGGCCGTCCATCACATGGCAGGACATGCAGTCGCTCATACGGAACCGGTCCTGGATGTTGTCGCAGTCGTCCATCAGCTCGTGCATCTGGCCACCGAAGTTCTCCCTCTCGTAGATCCTCATCCTGAACTGGCCCCGGTGCTGTAAAACCATAAGAACGGTCATTTGAACGCTCATATATTAACTTCTACTGCTCAGATAGACAGCTGGAAAACCATAAAAATGACAATTGTGACTTCTACTGCTCAGATAGACAGCTCGATAACCATAAAAATGATCATTTATGAACTTCTACTGCTCAGATAAACAGTTGTAAAACCATAGAAATGATAGTTTAATTGTTCATTTCTGAGCTGTTGTTTTTAAGGCTCTGCTCAGACATCCTGGTTCCTACCATGGGGATCATCCTGCAGGACCGGATGCAGTCCTTCATGCCCATCATGCTCATGTAGTCGGCGTACTCGCCCCTCCTCATGAAGTACTGGTTCCCCATGTAGTTGGGCCTGTCGTAGACCATGAACATGCCGCTCTCCACCCTGCAGGAGTGGCACCTGCTCAGGTAGGAGGACATGTCGGCGCAGTCGCTGCTGGTCTCATAGGAACGACCCTGGAAGTTCCTGTCCTCGTAGAAGATGATCTGAGGAAGGAGAGAATCAAACAACCAGCCGTGAGGCCACATTCATGCGAGGGATGCTAGAGGACGAGAGGAGGGCAGTGCCTACCCTGCCCATGGTCCTGGTTCTGGTGTCGGCTCTCCAGAGAACTGGTGGTGCTGCTCTGATGTGGGTCCTGTTTGAAGCAATACTTTTATAGCAGACCCGATCCAAAGCGGCCGCGGCTCCCATTGTTAAAAGCCCTGACCCAGCACCATGGTATAGTGGCCTATAGAGTCCTCTGGGCTGTTTGTCCCAGTTCAATGTGACCACATCGAGTAGAATACTTTAGAATGGATTATTCCATAGGTTGGCCAATACAATGAACTGTCTCTCCAACATTTTTCAAAACACACTGTACGCCCCTCTGATTAGCAGGTGGACAGTTTATAGAAGGGAATATCCTTTTGTGTGAAATGTCAGCAAGCAATGCAAATCTCTATGAACAAAACATGCTAATTCAACTGTTTGTAGATCTTAAATTAGACATTTAGGTCAAATTTACTGAATCAAACAAGAAAATCCTTTTTTCTGTAACAGGTATCAGTTATAGCATCGATAGACACTTTGAGGATTTGCATCATGTCTGACAATCCCATTAAAAAACACACAAAACCAGCTGGTTTGTAAACATTATGGTTGTTCTTTTTAATTTAATTTCAATAATTCAGTACCAGCCTGGAATTTTTCTCTGTCCCTGCAACGTATTTTGGTTCTGAAATGCAAAAAATTATGTTTTTCAACAATGACATGGATGAAAACAGTTTTAAAAGGCAAATTCATACCGCGTTCCATGGAAAAAGCATTTAGGGGAAATGTTTCTATCTTGAGCAAAATCCAAGAGAGAACATACAAAAATATTTTTGATTATTACAAAATAATGATATAATCTATTATTGAAGTTGGTTCTGATGCATAATAAATACATTTTTCTTCTTTTTTTATCCTCGAGGCACAGTCTTCTCATCCAGGGTGAGGTACTCACAGTTACAAACATCTCTGTGTAAAGTCAAATCACTTATAGCCTGCACAGTTTAGTCCTTACACATCCATCTATTAATCCACTATTAATCCACTATTACGTAATCCACTTTGAAAATTTAATCAACTACAAAATAATCCTCTATGGAGTGATCAGATACGAAATAATAAACTATGGAGCAATCCCCAATAAATAATCCACTTTCAAATATTCATCAACTACAAAATAATCCAATATGGAATAATCCACTAAGAAATTATCCACTGTCGAGTAATCCCCTATGAAATAATCCATGATGGAGTAATCTATTATTGAATAATCCACTAAAGAGTAATCCCCTATGAAATAATCCACTTTTTCAATTTCTAAAATCCATGGATGGTTAACTGAAAATATGATCAAATGACATGTTTTATTAGCAGATTAAAACTTTTTCAGTAAATTGTACATTTTCAAGTCACAAGTTTGACTTGTTTGAAAAGGGTTAAAATGTTTCTTTTATCTTATTTCGCGCCTTATTCTTCTTCAGTTTCCGTGTGATTTTCAGCATGTAAATAGTCCCGCACGGTTCGAAGAATCAGGCCTAAAATTGGCACGTGAGTCCAAACCAACCATGGAAAGTGTGCTTGTATACAATATTCTCATTAGTACAGGCGTTTTGGATTAAACGGCGAATAAAGGTGAAACGGCGTCCCATAGGAAATGAATGGGAAGGCCAAAAACGGGCCCAAAACATGGGCCTCTTCTGGGCCTAATCCCTTGGCCCCACGACCTCCAACAAACCTTGTTCCAACATTGAACAGGTCATGAAAGATGGGTCTCTGCCATATTGGAACCACAAGGCCTGATCACACAACTTTTGGGGATCCTGGAGTGGGCAGTAGGTGGCCCCCCTTCAAAATTTATTTTGATATTTTCTAGTTCCGCGGCTATAGCTTCTTCTGTTTCTGCCCGATTTTCAGCGCGTAACTAGTCCTGCTCGGTTCGATGGATCGGGCCAAAAATTGGCACACGCGTCCACATCAACCACGGGATGCGTGCTTGTATACAACTTTCTTATAAGTATTGGCGTTTTAAAATAAACAGCAAAAAAGACGAAAAAAACGTCCCATAGGAAATGAATGGGAAGGCCAAAAAACGGGCCCAAAACATAGCCTCGACGTCCCCACGACGTCCGAGAAACCTCGTTTGAACATTGAACAGGTCAGGAAAGACAGGACTCCGCCATATTGGAGCCACCTCACACTGTTTGGGGTGTCTTGAGCGGGCATTAGATTGTCCCTCCAAAATTTCTTTAGCAATTTTCTAGTTACTTATTACTGTATTAATTGCTAACAGAACTATGCTTCATGAAGTTCCTTCAAATACTGTAATATTTAGACCTGTAACTTATTTTTTTACCAATTGAAATCCAAAACATTCATTATAGAAGAACACGTCATTGCAGGTTTGTGTAGTTAATGGCGTTCAGGCCTCATAAAACAATAAAGATATCTTAATTTAAATAAACCTGCTACTTCCTGTCGATCATTTTGTCCTGTTGACTTCTGTATTTGTTGACACTTCTGGACACACTGCGACACAAGTGCAATTAGAAGTTACTTAAGTCCAGCCATCCATTTTCTACCTTTGCCTGTTCTTGGTATGGTCACGGGGGGATGGATATGATCTCAACTATCTCTAAATGAAACATTTTGCCATAACATTCTGAAATGCTGGTGCAAATTGTTTAATTTTTAAGTAAGAATAAAACTTAGCAGGACATTCTGACATTGTGAGGTGTGTTTTCAGCATGATTATGTACTATGACACCATAGTTAGTAAAAAGTCATATGTAGTTTATTGATGTTTAGCTTTGAATTCAGCACATGTCCATGATGCGCCTCATGCTCATGAACATGGAGCTGCTGTAGCCTATGTCCCTCTTTCAAACTATATAAAACCCTTTGAATTACTTTGCCTAAATTTACCTGAGCGACTTTTACTTTAATGTCGCCAGACCAGACCAGCTGAGGCCTAATTAAATCAGGAATATTCGTCTCTTTATCAGTTGAGCTATATTAATTATGTGGAAGATTTATTAAGATAAAAATGACTTTTATGTTGTTTGTTCTTAACTATTTCTGAAATATAGCGTCTTTGTCTGCTCATTATGAACATCAGTTGGATTTATTTAAATGGTTGTAGCTTTAAGCCTCTACATTTTTACTATATCGTAACTCTTTCTGTTGTATTTCACTGATTTTTTCTTAATGTTAATGTGTTAGTTTGTGTTTGCACACCAGACTAAAAGCCACAGGTTCAATATTTTTTTGTTTGTTCTACTTTTTTATTTCAATTATAAAATGTTCAGCACATGTCCATGATGCGCCTCATGCTCATGAACCTCATGCTGCTCATGCCCATCTCCCTGAAGCTGCGGTACTCGCCGGGCCTCATGTACATCAT